TGCGATCGAAGGCTATGGTCGTTGCCTTTAAATAATGTTGGAGACTTGAAAAGAGTTATTTGGTTTCCGTTTCATTGAACTCCTCAGACAATAGGAAATGAAAAATATTAATGCGAGTCCTCAAATGTTGGATTCAAGTTGTTAAAAAAATGGTTGTGGTCTTATTAACAAGTTTCGGTGGCTTTGCAGCACTTCTAATTGGCAGCCACTAACGAGCTCAATTCTATTCGTTCACCTTCTCAGCTGAGCTGTCAAAATATCAAACATCTAATTAAGTCAAACTGTTGCCAGGAAACTACGAGAATGGCAGACACAAAACTATGTGGGCGACATTGGGGCTATGGCGAGCGCGGCAGCCCGCACTGAGAGTTCATTAGGCGCAGCTGTTGTTAGTGTGCCGGGCCCGCTCCAGCTCCAGCTCCAGCTTGGGCTCCGGCTCCTGTTTGTACCTGTGCTGCTAGTCTTGTTCTTGCATCACCAGTTGACAAACACAGTTTTTAGCTAACGTTTTCGTTTCGGTGGCGTATGCGTAATTTATGTCGTACGACAAACACACACAGATAGCTATAGAAAGCAGCAGCGCAGTGCAGACATGCAGAAGCAGAAATTCCACCGAGGCAGCCTGCGCAAACATCCACCTACACACCAACACACACACACACATAGAACGGGAGGTGGAGAGCGAGGATCGGGCTTAGGCTCAGGCTCAGGCTCAGGCTGAGGCGACGGTAACTGTTTGAGTACGGGTTGGGGCGCTGTGTTTGTACAACTGCTAAACGAAATGCTAATGCGGTAAACTAAATGCAAAAACCATTTTAATTAGCACAGAAATCATTGTAACTTGTTAAATTGCGTAGCTGCCATGACTACCGGGACCGTTCAGGACTAGTCAGAGCACGGACCTACACGCACACATACTCACACAACCACTCGTATGCATGTGCAAAGGAGCAGGTGAGTTGCGTGCGAGGCAAGTGAAACTTTAACCCCAAGAACAGCGAGCCAGCGCAAACAACAATAAGGTGAAGCAGCATTTATAACAACGCCAACAACAACGCCAAAAAGAAGAACAAAGCCAACTACGACATGTGCAAGAGAAAAAAATAAAAACACGCGCCAGGCCAAAAACAAAAAGGAAAACAAACAGAAGCAGAACACGGCCAGGAGTATTTAGTAGCAGTTACTGCCTTTGGCGTCAGGCAAGGAAATGGATAGCTTGAGCCTCAACTTTTTGCACTCGTCTTGACAGATGTGTGCATGTATTTGTCAATGTGTGCGTGTGTCTGTACACTCAGAGGAAAGCGATACTGAAATAAAATGTGTGGATAATTGTTTTTGTTTTAGATAAAAACTGCCTAGAATCGATCAATTGTGAATAACTATAGGCACTCTTCTTCTTTTGTTTAACTTTTTCTTTCTTAATTGAGGGACTCCATAGCTTCCGCTCTAATAAATGTGGCTACCAATTCTATTGCTGCTTTTAAAACAGTTCGGCTTACCAGGCCGCATTAGGATCTGCCTTTCTTTTCGATTCAATCTACTCACTTGTTTATTTTTAAGCGAAGACCTACAACTGATTTGAGGAATCCAATTTTGCTGCAATCCCACATTTTCTATTCCCTTCGAACAGTTTTCAAATTCGCAGTAATTCACATACATGCACCAATTGTTTTTTTTTACAGTGTACACATACATATACGCGTGTGTATGTTTGAAATCCGACATTATGTTTGCATGTTCTGCGACAGGCCAGGCAGGCAGCAGACGGCAGGCAGGAGGCAGCAGACACCAGGTAAGTGCCAGAAGGAGGTGAAAGGTTGGGCCGAGGAAGGCATACAACGACTGTTGATGAAGAGATAATATTGTGATCACGTTCGGCAACCTGCTGAAATGCAAATAGACAAGGGCTGGGCGTGCCCAGGCAGGATGGGAGGGGCGGAGGTGGGCCTGCTGCCCTGGCAATGATAAAGCAGCAGAGCAGTAAAGAAAATAATAAAAAAGCGAAACGTAAGAAAACTTTGCGGGCATGCGGTCGAGTGGTAGCCAAATTGTAATGTGAGTTGCGCTAATGAAAGGTTCATTAATCATGCGACGGTGAGACGCCGACGACAGGCGGGACGGAGCACCAAATTGCTCATACGCGCCGTTGAACGCTGAAGTGTGGCAAGCAGGGACCGCGCCATAGATGCTGAAGCAGGCGGAATCTCAGGCGCAAATAATGCATACTATATGCGGTCAGGTGTAGATATTCTGTTGGCGTTGCTCGAAATTCAAAAGAGAGAATATAGCAACAGCAGTGTGGCTACGAACTGCATTTAAATCTAGGAAGAGCAAATGGCAACCGCCACGGCACACATCAAACAACACAATAAACTGCACTCACACCCACGCATATCTGTGAAGGTGCAGATGTGCGTGTGTGTGTGTGCGGACTAGCCAGTTAATTAATATTCCCGCTGCCGCACGTTTCATGTTTGCATTAATTTGGCAGATAACTTGTCAGCGCTCTTGTTGTGGCTGTTGCTGTTGCTGTTGTTGCAAAGCTGATGAGCATGTTGCCTTAAGAGGAGCAGTTTGCCATGCGGCAGACAATGTCTAACAAGTTCCACAAACATACACGCACTCGCACCTGCGGCAACAAGGATAAACAGAGGGGGGGAGGGGGAAAGGGAGGTTGACAGAGAGTAGTGTATGTAGTTGCCTGTTCCACTCGTAATTAGCAAAGATCGAAGTGATTTAATTACTTGGGTAAACTTTTAACATTGTCTACATGGCATACAAAACTTGCGCACTTACACATACCATACATAATCATACTATATGCCTACTTTTGGCAAAAGTGTGCAAGCCAAATTGGCAACTGCACACACACACACACACACACACACACACACACACACACACACACACACACACACACACACACACACACACAGAGACACTCATGCTCCCGTTATTACGAGCTGTTTACCCAGCACAAAAGTGCTTATGTCCTGGTCGTGTCTTTGCACCAAAATTGCCAAGTTGCTTATCGAAATCAGCTATGGCAACATCATCTGGCCGAGGGGAGAGGCAGGGGCAGGGACAGGGGCAGCAGTAACATCATCAGCAGTCGCGTTGTTATCATTGATGCGAAATGATTGTAATTAGAGTTTGCCAACGGCGCATGTTTCGCCAATTGCTCTCTCCCTCTTTAATTCTTCGACACCCTCTCGTTCTCTCTCACACTATCTATATCTCAGAGTCTCCTCTAATAAGCTTCTAATTATCCCAAAAACTTGGGTAGAACAAACAACCAACGATATGCGCTATAAACTTGCGCTTGTGCTAAATACATTTAAATCTAAAGAAATGCCTGGCGTCGAGCGTGAACTGCACTGTGGGCGAAATGGGCGTGGCACATGATGTCATATCACATCCTGTGCGTGTGTGTGTGTGTTTGCTCGGGTTTGTGTGAGTGTCGCTGGGGACAGGCTAATCACTTGTCAACCGAAAAACACCCGCTAATCAGGCTTATTTGTTTGCTGCCATGATATCTGTGCGTGTGTGCGTGTGAAGTGTGGGTTTTTGTTCTAGGGTATGGGGTGAAAGGGTGTGTATGGATTTGACTTTTTGGCAAACATGAGTTTTATTAAAAGCGACAACATTTTGTGCCACGACAGTCAGCCATTGCGCATACGCCACGTATGTTAGGCTGTGCCTACAGACCTTAACTCCTTTTATGTGCATTTTGACTAAAGTGGAAGCGGGTACATGGAGTTCATTGTGAAGCATGTATAGTATGTAACTATACACCTCATTCTGTTTGTACGCGGTAGATTGATTCCAGAAAAAGTCGTGTGAAAAAAGACATTGATCATATGTTATTTTAAATCGTGCTTAATGGAATAATGGCGGGTTACCGCATATAACATATTTAGTTCTCAAACCGTGTAAAAACAGAATTAGGTGTGTTTTAAAGATATTTGTTTCCACTACTTACAGTCTTTAATTTACTTAGAGTCCAACATGGAATCTGGAACCGTGTTTGTTTGGAACAGGCTGTCATTTGTTTCTCTAGCTTGTTCAATTAGTTACCCACAGACACAAGTCGAGTGGAAGAGCTTGTAGTTGGGCTTAGTTGTGTGACCATTTTATTTAACTTGAATGCAATATTTAAACCATGAAGGTATTTCAAAAGTCCCTTGGCAACCTCTGTTTCCATTCATTTTTATTTGATCTCACCTCTTGAATTGTTAGCCATTCATTTATGTGATCTTGTGTATCATAGAATGTTTATTATTGGTAACGATACCAAGATATATGTATGATATAGTTTAGAATAGGAATATAATGTGAAATTACGATGGCGAATATTAGCATATGCAGCTAATTCACTCTGGTTCGACGGCTTCTCTCTGCTTCTTCTTCTGACTGCTGACTTCTGCTTCTTTCTTTACGGCTGACAACTTACTACTGACTACTTAGTACATTTCTACTGACTGCTTAAAACCAAAATGAGCACCGAGTACTGATGGCGATGCTGCTTCTAGGTGTTCCGCCATTCTCACTATCCTGCCTTCCCATCTTACATTTATTTGTCTGTACATAAGAGCAATACTTGTTTCTTCTTCTTTTATTATTGCACACTCGCACATTCCCATAAACAAACCGTCTCAATTAACATTTATTTTCGAGCTATACTCTCCCGGCTGCAGGGTATTCGCTGCGTGGCACACCTCCTTGTGCACGATTCCCCCTTGCGGCCCTGCTGCGTGCTGGTGTGCGCTTTGTGGTCGCGTCACTCAGTCACCAACACACCCAGCTAAATGTACAAATAATCTAATTAGTTTTATGCTAATTAGTGCGCGGCTTTAATTTAATAAAATATTATAGCGCATTATTCGGGACTCGTGTGTGGCGCGCAACATAGAAAAGATTTCCAGTTCAGCTGATCTAGCAGTTTTAAGAGGCAGCCCCTTTGAAGCTCACATGCGACTCAAATTGTTAACAGGTTTGAATAACTTGTTAATTTAATGATTATTTATTGGCATATTTATTGAATATTAGTAAAACATTTCGGTTAAACGGATATAAATCGAAAATGTACAGTAATAAAGGTTAAGTAGCGTAACGCTCGTGTGCAGAAATAATAATTGGTTGCTGCTTCGCCTGCATTGTGTCACTCGGACGCAGGAACTACATTCTCTCTTAATGACAAGCCTATAGATTGTAGGCCTGCCTTATCACCAAATCAAAGTAGGTGTCATTATCGATGGAAGCACTAATGCTAGCATAGTAGTTGACGAACTCCTCCTTGGTGATAATGCCGTCCGGGTTGGGAGAACCAACATCAAAGTTATGCAAGAAAGTTGTCAATATTTCTTTTTTGGTCATGTCACCACTCTGATATTTCGGATTATCATCCACAGAGTAAACTTTTTCGAAATCAGCTACCGTTATGTGCCCGTCCTTATTCACATCCATTTTTGAAAAAGCCTTCTCAATGCTGTCCATACGAGAGTTGTTCAATGGTGGCTGCAATTAATAACAACATTAACTGAATATTTCATCTTTGCAAATACTACTGCAATTCAGTAGCGGATCTTACAAAATTTCACTTTAAAATAAGAACTCAAACATTTGACAGAAACGCGTTCAAATTGTGACAAATCATTTCGAAATAAAAATCTTTACCGAAATGGTAATATTTTTAAAATTATTTAATAGAAGAGTGCGAATAAATATATTTTGAATTTGCAAACATATACAAATTCTTTTTTTAATTGAATCAGAATGGTTATGTTGTACCAAATAGTTTTTGATAACAAAAATGAAGGTCCGAAAACCACTAAACCCGTATTTATATGTTGCATGCTGCCTATACATTGATTCCCTACCTCTACATCTGTATAACAGCTTTATGAAGTAGTGCCCTGGTTTTAATGAAACTTCATGATACTTAGGTTTGAATAAGATGTCTCAAATGAAAAAGTTGTCCTAATAAGATGATATGCATATAGATGCAGAAATAAAAGCCTGCATACCAAGTCTAGTATTCCTAGCTGTTTTGCTTCAATAGTTTTTGATGTTCATGCGAACGGACATATACTTCTTTCACGGACATATACTTCTTTCATATACTTCTTTCTCTGTTACGATTAGCGTTTAGACTTTCGAGTAGGCACTTCAGTCCGATGAATACTACAGTGCTACAAATCTATTTATGCCTACGTAGCTTTAACATACAAGTATGTTTGCTTTTATAATTTTTTGTTGTGGACTGAGGTTGTTTTGGAAAAGCTAATTCTGAATGCATAATATTCACGAGGATCAAGGTATTTGGAGTAACTTACACGCAACTTAAGCAGAAACTCTGACATGTCGATGGTGCCATTGCCATCGGCATCAAAACTAAAGAGGTGTGGAACGGATTCATTATTATATCGATTTCAATGGACTGATTGAAATGCGGCTGTACTTACCGCTGGAACAATTCGTTGACCTCCGGATCAGTCACATCGATGCCTGCGTGCTTGATGCCCTTCTTGAACTGCTTCAGGTTTAGTTTCCTGTTGCCTTCATGGTCCATAATACGAAATGCTCTGCCAGAGAAAGGAAGAGAAGTGAAATTTTAATTGAACACAAAAGCCGCAGAAATTGTTTAGAAAAATCTATACAAAATATGTTTATATTAATGCGGCAGGAACAAAGAGAATATGGCCCGACAAATGTTGCGTGGCGTTGGTTCGTTCGTTCGACTGTGTGTTGAATGCGAGTGCATTGAATTTTCCGGTTGGCAAACAAACAAATTGCATAAATAGAAATGAAAATGCGCGCACGCCACGCCACGCCGCGCCACGCCAATATGGCAGAGCCAACCGGCCAACCAAACAGCCCGCCGAAGCCCCAGTACATACATATGTAGGTACATACATATGTTGATGTTGGATTTTGTACAAAATGTCTATATATTCAAAACGGGAAATTGTTAACAGACAGACAGCCGGCCAGCAATCGGACCAGGCGACCATACCCCTACAGCCGCATATGTCCGTTTGGCTAACTGTCCGGCGTATGAGCTGGAATTGAAATAAAAACTAACGTAGAGGTTGTGGGGGAATGGTTTGTGTTGTGGCTTTTGGTCGGGGGTTGAGCATGGGGTGGGGTTGGGGCAGGTGATGGGCAGGGGCAGGGATCACGAACTAGAGAAATCCAATTATGTTTGTTTGCATTCAGTCAGCGATTTTTGCCACACCCTATACTCCGCCGATTCGTCAGCGTGGCAGGCAACGCCATAGTTATAGTTTTTTCCCGTTTGCACACACTTGAAAGAGCTTTCGAAATGTTAGTTCAACATGCACTCCACATATTTGCATGTGCCTAGTTGAAAACTGAGTGTATGGCAGCAAGGGCTGCCAACAACCCTTTGCTGCCGCCCTGCCAGTTGAGAGTGCGCTACAAAGGTCAGGAAAGTAACTTTCAGATGGCACATCGCAAATTTCAAATTAAAGTTGCATAAATCCTGCCCGATGTCATTTGCAATATCCCTACGATCAAAAAGAATAAGAATGTGAGATTTCTCTCCACAAGAAATGTGTGTACAAACATGTGTATGTGCTTCTGCGCCGAAGATTCCAGAAGTACGTTATTAATACTATAGACATATATGGATTAAACTAGTTTTGATTTCGTTTATCAATATTTCACTTTTTCACATTCTTCATAAACAATTCTATTAAAGAATTTAATATTTTAATAACAATCTTAGTTCGTAACCCACCCTTTTCTGCAACATTTTTCTATATTTTTCAATTTCTGTATCGTAGTATAGAGGGCATTCATTTTAGAAACTCGTCGATACCATGCTTGCCTTCCACTAATACTACACCCATATATCCTTCTACTCCTGCAGCTCATTGCTCACTTCGCCTCGCTTTACTGCGATGTTCCGATCCGACCACGAGTACTCAACAAATTCATCATTTTAATATACTCTGCGACCGCTGCCACGGTATGTTGCGTTTTACGAGTACAAGTACAAGTGGTGGCATATCCATGAGGCATACCCCCCACCCACATAGTTTGGTAATAAATATCTTCCACAAACATGGCTATGTGTATGTGGGTGCGAATTGTGTGTGGGAGCTCTATTGGTTGTTACTCTGAGGTTGAGGGCAGTGCGCGAAAAATGCACATGAAAAGTTTTTAGCCACAGCCTCTGACCTCGGGCCGGCAAAAATTACACAAACACGAGTATCTACTTCGATGTTCTTGCCCGGACTCATGTAATTGAAAGTTTTTGAGACTCAAGGTAACTCGTTTTCTTTGCGGCAGCTTTGTATGATTGGCACACCAGTGAGTCAGTCACTCAATCACTCTCTCACTCACTCACTCACTCACCTGGCCATGCCCAAGATGCCTGTGGCTCCACGACTGAGGCATTGCAGACGCAATTTGTAAATTGGATCCTTGTCCATACCATTGGTGAGCTCCCTGCTCGATACGTTCTTGAGATAGGCCTCCTCTGTGTATTTGTCCTCGCGATGCATCATCTAGAATGTGGAGGGAAAGAGTAGTGATGTTGAGATTGCGGCTTTGAGTTGTGGTCGAGAGTGCTTTTATGTCAACGGTAATTAATCGCCTAGGAATTTTAAGGTTTTTCCTTTTATTTTTGTCTGTGAAGTTTCAAATTTCGAATTTCATATGAGAAAGAGTATGAGTTTAAAGTGCACGGTTGCTTGAAACTAAAAAGAAATATTTGCTTATTTTTAGTTTTTTAAGCTTCTGCAAAGGTTGCTTCTCTTTCTGATCGAAATTGAAATCGAATCGATTTTACTTAATTTGGATTATGAATCAATTCAATAATTACTTTTGATTCCTTCGAGAAAGCAGATGTGGAAATACAAAAGGGAAGTGCTAGGAAGCTAAAACGTGGATTTAAGTTTTCTTTCAATAAGAAGCGGTTTTCGAAAGTGTTAACTCATAAAAACTAATAAACTTTTCTGGAAATTAAATACATACACAAGTACATATGCACACAAATATAGAATTGTAAACTAAAATATTTAGCCCAGCAGACGGGCTAGATCTGGGAGTAATAAATGTAAAAACCTCTGTGGTGATTGGACTGCTGCTGCAGTGTTGGCTGCAACTAGAGTATGGAGGTTTAGCCGCGAAAATTAGAAAAACAATATCACTCAACCGGACTTGCGCGAGAAAGCAATAAAATGCATCCAGACGGGCCATATAACAGCTGATCTCATTCCCAGTGAGTGGCATCCGCAGCTGGATAAAGCCTACCAGAATAAGCCTGACGTTCGGTTTAAAAAAAATAGGGGGCGCTGCGTCAAAATAAATCGAGTTGCATACTTTTAGGCACGATTTGTATTTAAAATGCCAGTCAATGCGTATCCTGTTCATCAAAACTTCAACAGCACCACTCCCGAAAGCTAAAGTACAAGACAACAACAATTATGGGCATACTGCAACGAACAAACTTCCCTAGTGGGCCTGATCTAAAACGATGGCGCAAGTTAAAGAGAAAATAAAACGGAAAAATGTAAACATTCGTTGTCTTCAAGCAGAGTATTTGAATTTGAATCTGCAAATTATTATGTAAAAACAATTTAAATCTATCTGAACCGATCACATAAGAAGCTGCCAAAGCTTACAATGACAAAGGATTTCAACATATGTTTACAATTTTTCGACACTGTTCAAAAATTTTAGAATAAACCAAATCAGAGCTTAAATACATTTCGAATTATTCTCTCCTTAAGTTTTTATAAATGAAATGAATTTGGTTCTCCAATAACTAAGGTAAATTAATATTTACTACTGTTCTGCTTTCGATTTTCAACAGTTTTGAAGACAAAATTTGTGAAATTGAACATACAAGTATATTGTAAATATATTATTTATTTAGTAGAGCAGGTGTTGAGTTAAGCCTGATTAAGGCTGTCAATTAGTTGTTTATTTACGTAACATTTAGAAAGAATATTAGACGCCCTCTTGGTATTGAACTTTGCATTATAAATCTCTACTATTGTGGGTGAAGGGGAATTAATTAATTCGTACCTTCATTTGCATGTGGCTTTATAAGCCGTGAATTGGCCCATGGCTGTTTCATACTTTGTTTGTCTGTAATAATTAGTTATCTGTCTGTCTATTTGTCTTATTATTACAAGTTAATTTTGTGTGGCAGAGGCATTAAGTCGTTCAGGGCCTGTGGCTATTACAGTTTAAAATTTGCTTCTTACACACCGCACCGCGTGCATCGCAAGCTCAATATAAATTTTATTGAGAATCGTCAAAAGACTCACTGAACGACTTTCGCTTCTGATGGCGCATAAGTAACGGTTCACTGCCACTCCCTCATAGCCGTCAAAGGCTTGCCAGAATATTATCTTAATTGCTGATGTATGTATGTATTTATTACATAATAGTTCACAATTACACAGCAAGGCAATGATCCCACGGGTCTGAGTTTACACATACTTTAATGCGTATATGTACATACATAGGTAGATACATACATATGTATGTGTTTATAGATATCAGATCCAATGAACTGTGTCGACTTGAACCCCAACTAGTTGATTAGAACTCAAGAGTGTCAGTTCGCCTCAAGACTTTAAGCATGACATCATTATAATAGTAGCAAGCTCCATCCCACCTATACACATAAGCACTGAAGTGGGTCAACACATCATTGCAAATAGACACACATACCCACACCCACACACCCACACAAATGCATCAAAGCATAAATATGTGAATGTGGGAATGTATTGACACGCTTTGCTTAGGTCGTCTTTAAATTGAAAGAGTTTTTGAATGCAAGAATGAATAACGCTGCAATTGTAAATGGAACTTCTGAGGGCCAGAAATTTCGACGGCCTTCAGGCACTGGCGGACTAGTAGCTTTATAAATAAAATAGCCTTTAAATAAGGCAAAAGTGCGCAGGAATACACAAAGGCAATGTAAAGGTCATGCATTGATTTTTGTATGCACTAGTAACGACAACAAAGGTAGTAACAGCCACAACAACAAAGGGACTATGATTGCGATAAATCACGGACCCTTTTTGAAAAAGATGTAAACGTAAATGCTTTATGGGTCCCCCGTCTGCCATAGGCCGTAGGTTCCACATACATGTCCATAAATATACTTCGCCTGCGCCTGACTTGTTATATTAAAAATACATTTTTATAGTGCTTCTTTGGTGCTTAATCATGGCTGAATATTCATTCGGATAATCTTTCCTCATTCTTTCCAGCTCTTTGGAGAGAATCCTATATGATTCCCCTTTACGGAAAACATCATGAACAAACCTGGTGATGCCAGTTACGATTGGGTATTCCTTGATAAAAAATACACGTATTAATATATGTCCTCCATGGTGGCCATGCGCATAACATAAAGCTGCACCTGCGGTAAGTGCCTGTAGAGCTTTGTTACTTCTGGCTTGCATGAAATTGTGAAATACTTGTAGTGTGGGTTCAGTGTAGAATTTCAAGGAAACCTACTGCTCAGAAATTTGTGTCCCATCCACTGATGACACAGTAAGATTAACAACAACAATGAGCTTTGTTGCTGTCTAATAGCTGGCGTGCTAATTAATGATTTCGAATGGCATTTAAGTGTCGAAAACCCAAGGGGTGTGTGAAGCACGCAACACGCACGGCTCGGGCACAGGGGCTGTCAAACTTTAAAGCTTTGGTGGCGCCGGCAACACATGTTGCGCAACACTTGCAGTTGCAGCCGGCAGCTGCAATAGCGGCGCAGTACTTGGCTGTGGAGCTTCAAGGCCACGCAGGCTTTAGCTTTGACGGTCAAGGTCGGCCAATGCCGACACTGTTCAATTCTAACGAGATCCTAAGTAAATGTAAATTAATTGATAAGCTAGATTTGCTCTGTCTAGACCACGAATGGTACATTATCATATTGTTATAGATAAAACCTCGATAAACAGACATGCTCTCTTATACAGATAATAATGAGTTCGGCCTTAGATGCCGAACATAACACCAACATTTTCGTAGCTGGCAGGCGCCAGCTTAATAGATAAGGATGTGTAAGTACACAAATCATTAGCTCAGGCTCGCCACCGCGCTGGATGAGCATGCTGCGGCTGGCTAACATGAGCTACCTGATAAAGTACGCACACATGGTAGAAGATAAGGAATCGATGATAGTATGTAGGCGATAGCATAAGAACTAGGATAAGAATTTATATATAAATAAAGCAGTCGAGCTATCGACGTTGTTCATTCATCCACAAAACTTTGTCGCGTATTATTATCCTCCCACCAATCCTGCTCCGCTAAATACAGACACATATCGATTTTAAACTTATTTGTCTAAATTATAAGCCACAAGCAAACAAAAATAATATTTAACATGTCAGCAGGACAGCCCTCTCATACCCCACAACGCATGATAGGAAAGCAACCAAAAGCAGCCGCAATAACTACAAATATTGTCTGTACAAGTATGTCTGTTTCTTATTTCTTAACTTACATTGCTATCTTCAAATGAGACTCTTAGCTGGTGGCTTTTTTTGTATTTCAAAATGTTGCAACTTTTCACAATTCACTTTGCAAGCACACAAGATTTCGCTTATACTGTCGTTCTCGTAGTAGTACGTGTAGAGTGAGCCAAGCGTTGGAAACGAATGACGAACATAGCTGGCTCAGAATGTCAGGCAAGCGAGGCAGTCGACGTCGACGCTGCTGCAGTTTGTCTTTGTTGCTGTTGTTGTTGCTGTTGTTGTTACTATTGCCCCACCCCATGCCATAAGAGGCATCCTTTCGCGCCCCATGCTGCTGCACTGTGTGCCAGCTTTTGCTGCAAAAGTGGAAAACTAATGCGTCGCAAAAATGTGCAAGAAAGCTAACTGCAGCTTTTGGCTGCCAATTGACAAATGCCTACTATAGTATATTATCAGTTTATGCATGTGTGTGTGTGTGTGTGTGAATGTGTGTTGTTGTTGTTGTCTTTAGCCAAAGGGCGAGCTTTTGACGCTGCGCATTTGTTTAGCGACATTTGTTGCGCTTTGTTGATTCTCCTCTCACCTACCTATCTACTCGTACCTACCTACCAAAGGCTCGCTTGGCTTAGTCGTCGATTTGGTTTTATGATTCAACACGGGCATTATCATAACCGTTATGTGGCGGGGAAGTCCATAAAATTTATGTGCTCATATCATGCGACCGTTATGTCAAATTGACTGGCGCTTTATGTTATATATATGTATGTAGTATGTACGAGTATGCTGTATGTCTGTATGTTCTTGTTAAACAGTATTGACGACAGTATTTGCGGTTGTTTCTTCAACCACAAAAAAACACACCTCAGTAACCTTGCTAATCACATACAAACTACACAATTAAAGTCATGTAATTATATGGACTAACGAAGCAAGATTTGCACATATTTCTCATTTCAAAACTGTTGGATGTCAGTTAAATATTGAATCACAATTGCTCGTAATTTCCAAGCGTTTTAATTGAACGGTACGAGCCGATAATATTTCCGATATACAAGTACTCTGGCGCCTCATGGAAAAAACGATGGCCGATAACCTGCTTTTCGATGCCAATGGATTGATATTCGATAGTACTTGTATTGTCGTCGATGCTGGCCAGACAGACACACTACAAAATATTCTGCAGTCCTATTGTTGCCCCTAAGTGTTAAGATATGTGAAATATGCCTACTTAATTTTCTTATTTATAACTATTAGTCTATTAAGGAGCAAAGAGCCTACTTTCGATTTTGAAAATTTTGCCAAAGCTTTTAAATTTTGAATTGCTTTGATTTCACTTTTAGTCAAAACTTTATTCTGATGGCCTAATGCGTCGATTTATTCTGAAAGTTGCTTTCTTTGAAATGAGCCGTGCAGTTTCTATGGAAGTTATTACCAAAGAAGCAGATCTGCGAATACCTTTGGTGAAAATGTTTTCAGACGAAAGACATTACAAAGGAGTCAACAAAAATATCACAATTTTTGTATTTTATTGTGACTGCTGATGCAAAGTGGTGTGTGTTTTCAAAACGATTTTGTATCGTATCGTAAAGAAGGAAGTAGGCGGTTCGACACTTGTGAGCGATGTATTGCCAAATAAAATTTTAATTATCAACCACTAAATAATTACTTAGTTACTTCGTTCTTCTGTCGTACGAGTCCAAAAAACAAATATAGGAGTACATAGATGCGCGAATACTAACAACAAATACAAAGTTTAGTGAAATGGCATTATAAGATGGAATGGAATGGAAATGGAATTATAGCTTGGCAGCTACAGTGAAAACTCCCTTAATGGCCACCTCTTCTATGCGGAGAATCTCTTCGGCAGACACTTCTAAAACATTCGATCGGTGTATAAAGTATTTAAGTATCCCCTTGAGCGGACAAAAATTGGTCGGCTGTGAGTGTCCGGCCAAGAGAGTTTTCACTGTATAAGGTGGAGGCCCAGCCCTTTTCCCGCAGTAAGGGAAATTTGTTTGTTAGTTTACCAAAAAGGTTTAACAAATTTTGATTAAGCTTTTCAATTGCTGCTGTGCTGGTCGCCTAATTGCCACACATTTTTATGTAGGGTTTTAAATAATTTAACTCGGAACAAATAAAAGCAAATAGTTGTCTGCAATAACTACTGATCAATCAGTTAATAAAGTCGAATTATAATTTCTTAAAAAACAAACCTACTAGAGGTTGCATCAAACTTTAATTGAAATACTTATATGCACATATTAGGAAAAAGCTGCGCCTATGGGAAGTGCCTGTAAAGCTTTAAGTTGCACTTTGCTTGCCCGACATTGTGAAATTGTTGGCTTGTGGGTTCAGTTTGGAATTTCAAGCTGCTCAGAAATTAGTGTCCCGTGCACTGAAGACTCAGTTAGACAAGCAACAACGATGTTGGCTTTGTAGCTGTCTTTAGTAAAGCAGCCTTTGTAATGGCGTGCTAATTAATGAGCAAATGCCATATGAGTGCCGAATAGCCTGGGGGTGTTTGAAGCTCAGGCGCAGGGGCTGTCAAACCTTAAAGCTTTGGCGGCGCCGGCAACACATGTTGCGCAACACTTGCAGTAGCAGCCGGCAGCTGCAAGAGCGGCGCAGTACTTCAAGGCGATGCAGGCTTCAGCTTTGACGGTCAAGGTCGGCCGACGGCGGCACATATCGATTTTACAGTTATTTGGCAGGCAGTGCCCAAATCACAAAACGCATACGCCATGTATGCAGAAGCAAACGTAAGGTAACGAAGCGTGGAACAGAAAAATGAAAGGGACACCAAAACACAGATACAAGCACAGATACGCAGAAGCGCGTACAGATCACGCGCAGAGCTGACAAAAGCAGTGGGAAGGCCCGAAAATCGCATAACGAACTGCGACAGAACATGAAAAATAAATTATTGCTTTATTGAGGGTAAACAAAAAGACAATTTAACACGTCAGCAGGACAGGCTTGAGTGCCGGCACTGTCGCAGCAGCATCAGAAACTCAAGGCAGAAGAAGCAACAGAAGCAGGGAAATAGAGAGAAACAGGGATAATGGCAAGTAAAACCATGTGTGAGCCAAGGCGACAAAGGACCTGAACGAGGATGGGGATGATGCATGAAAGCAGCGACAGTCTCTGGCGAAATAAAGCAAATAGGTCACGTCCAAAGACAACATCGATTAACCATAAATTGCGAGTTAAGCAAAAAGCAACGACCAACGAGGCCGTTGCCATGGGGTCGCAGGATGCAGGACGCAGGACTAGCGCGTCGGCGTGTGAGTTTAAGCATGATTTGTGCACAGCGTCGTCTTTATGACAGCGGACACATTTGCGCGAATATAACTTTATACGCATGTGAGTTACATTCTGTATATATGTATGCACATATATGTATACAGTAACAATAACAGCAGGCATCTTTGTTATTGTTAGTTCTGTTGCCGTTGTTGTTGTTGTTGACGCCAACAATGGCGGAACGCCGTTGAAAGTAAGCGCGCCTGGCACTGACAACGACATCGACACCGCTCCAAAGTGCGATAGAAAAGAAACCAAAATCAACAACAACAACAATTGACAGCATGCATCTTTGTTTGTCTGTCTATCTGTGTGGGTGTGCCAGAAAACTTTCACAATAATTAACAGGCATGTCGATTATTTCTTGACTTACATTTCTACCTTCGAATGAGACTGCCAGCTGGTGCGGTTGTATTCTATATTTCAAAATGTTGCAACTTTTCACAATACACTTTGCAAGCACACAAGATTTCGCTTATATTGTCGTTCTCGCAGTAGTACGTGTAGAATGAGCCAAGCGTTGGAAACGAATGACGAACACGGCTGGCTCAGAATGTCAGGCCAGTAGAGGTGGGCAGGAGTCGTGTGTTCAGTGGTGGCACGCGTGCCCGTGTGACAAAATACGCAAAAGATGGATCCCAGTATATCGATACTTCGATTCTTTTCAGATATTGTTCGTATCTAGCACACAAATCGAAAAGTCGATCGTTTTCAGATATAGTCCATATCTAGCAACCAAAATTCGCTCTAAAAGTAATTGAAATACAAGTATTCAAAGATACTCCGGGACAGTCGCGGACTGAAGAAATGATTGAGAATTGTCCGGGAAAACATCAGCCGCATGCCCCAAATTTGCGATCATACCATTTATTATAGCGCTAGTGGTGGGAAACTGGCGTTTTCATATGTTGCACTAGAGTTGCCGCAAAAGCAAAGACTCGCAGCAACACATTACCGATCAGTGTTGCCAACTTTTCAGAAGGAAAAAAAGCGGTTTTTGACGGGAAGACAGGTGAATTAAAGCTAAAAAATATCTCAAAAAAGCGTAAAAAAAAGCTGAATTTTGTTCACTAAAAAGGCTTAGCAAATTAAGTTTATAAATGTTTTTTATCATCTTGGTGATAATTTATATTTATTTATAGAAGATGTATTATATTATCTAATTCATCATATTCGTTGGAATCGTTCCCATATGAAATACTTGTGCCAATCATATTCAAATAATTTGTGAAATTTGAAATACTGCGCACTTTTGTAATAAAGAAGTACTTTATTTCAACTAAAGCTGCCACTTTATCACATTTTTTTACATAAATGTTGGTAAAATTACAAAAAGCGGAAAAAAGCTAAATAAAGTAATACCGATATCGAAAAGCCCAAGAAGCTCTTCTCTTGAATGCTATAAACGCCTCAACCGACGGACAGTTCGGTAATTTAAAATTACTACTAATTTAAAATCGTATTGAAGGACCAGATTTGTTATTTTAATGAAGATCTATAAAAAGAATTAAGGTTCTTGCCATAGTGTCGAGCAGTAGTATGAAACAGTTTTTAATGCACATGGGGGGAAACCTATTAAAAATAGTTTACAAACTGCAATTAGTTCGTTCGTTAAACTGCAGAACTATGCTTCAAATTTCTTCATTTAATTAATATACCAATACCTATGGGCCCTCTTGGGCCCCTTTTTTAGATCCATTTCGTGTCGTGCCAGGCCGAAATGAAGAGGCACATGCCCATTTATAGAGTCTTTGTTGCTGTTGTTGTTGCTGTTGTTGTTGCTGTTGTTGTTGCTGTTGTTGTTGCTGTTGTTGTTACTATTGCCCCACCCCATGCCATAAGAGGCATCCTTTCGCGCCCCATG